TTAATTAAACGGGAAAACATTATTAATTTACCAAAACAATTTGTTATTTATATTTTGACAAAAACAACGATTTATAACCTTAAATAAATACAACAATAAATTAAACACATAATTTTAATTCATTATTACCATTTTTCAAAAAAAAACTTAACAAATTATTATATTTTTTATCATTTAATGTTTCATTCAATATATCGAAGTATAATTACAATATTAAACTCAATTGTACCATATTAAAAATGTCTTTTTTATTGGTTATTGTTTTTTATCAAATAATTTCTATTAAACAATCAAATGTTTATATGTTTTAATATTTTTTTTACAAAACCAACAATACCAACCACATTATTAGTAATTTTAATGATTTAATTGTCATTTTTGGACTTATTTATACGTTTAGCTTTTTTGTTCTTAGTTGTTGACTTTTTCTTACGTTTACCATCACCAACAAACCTCCTGCGACAAGGACATATATAATTAATTTCGTTCTTCTTTTGAATTGTGGTTCTTGAAATCACCAAAACGTTTTTATCTTCAGTTTCTATTAATTCATCTATACCATTATCACACTCAACACAAACACTTTTTCCTTTGCCATCTTTGATAGTACTCTTTTGTTCAGTATTATGTTTGGAATTATCACCATCGTATTCAATTAATTGGTCATTTTTTTCTGTCATATATTGATTATCGTTATTGATACAATTATATTTTGGATAATCTTTAATTTCACCGACATAATTTTCATCACACTTTTGATAATTAATCAAATCTTTCTTGAGATCAATAGTATCTTGTGAATTAATGTCCAACTCATATAATTTTGTCCATTTAAGATGGTCCACATTATTAATTATTTCTTTTTGAAAAATGTTTTGTGAACTACTATTACTATAATAGTTTAATGTCAAATTGTATATTTTAGTGGGTCTTTTATAAAAGTGGTTGTTTCCAGAATCCATTTGTTTTATTTTGTTTATTTCGCTTTCTTCAATTTTCATTAAATGAATAATTAGTTTTCCGATTGTAGGTTTTTTGCATGATAACCTTTTGACAAGTGATGAGTGATAACATTCACTTAAATTATCGGTTCTGATTTGTTGATTAAATTGACACCATATACGGATAGGCCATTTTTCTATCCAATTCACTTGAAAATAGTCCAGAAGTTTAAAAACGCCCTCATGAGAACCATCTTCAAAATCTTCCATTTTTATATGTCTTCGGATTTTTTCAAACATCAATGGAATATCACTAGGTTTGTAAAATGCTATAGTTTTTAATTTGCTGACAAGTTCCCAAATTTTAGAACCCGGATTATAATAGGATGACAGTCCAACTCTTTGAACTTCACGCCATATACATTGTGTATAATGAAAGTAACACCCGTGAATAATACAACCAAAATGAGTTAAAGCGTTTATTGCCGCTGCCTCAAAATCTAACATAATGCTCATTTCATTTGTAAGAAGTGGATAACCCAAAGTTTTGATACAGAATGAGTTGATAAGATTGAACATGATCAAATAATCAGACTCTTTGCGGTTTGACATAAGAGAGTGAGATAATGTAAAATTTTGACCATTGGCCAAAATACAATGTATTGTATATAATTGTGAATAAGATTGTGGACAAGAACTAAAGGTGCCATCCATACACAAATAAGCAATCTTTCTCTCTTTCAACATATTAATTTTGTCTTTTGAAATCATCAAAAATATATCATCTTCGTGTTCAATATAATATTTTCCACTCTGAACCAGTTCGTTTGTTTTTTCTATTATTAATTCATGTTTTATTTTATTAATTGTTCTTCTCAGAGTGGTTTTTCGGCGTTTATCTTCTGGTATCACAGATTCGTATTGCTCAAGTAATTTTGTTCCGGATGTTAGAATGTTAGTTCCTTGTTTGACTAGTTGCACAATGTGTGAATTGTCGGAAACGACATTTGATTTTTCGTGATGATGTTGTGTTATAGAATTTCGTATGAATTTATATTTGAGAAATTTCATCTGTTCGCCTTCGCCTTCATATTCAACAATTTCTATTTTCATTTCGCAGTCGCAACATTTAAAAACATTTCTTGTGCCATTTTGTGCATGAAAAGTGTATCCATCAATACTTGGAAGCATATAATGCGTACCATTTTTAGAAATTTTACGACTTTTTATTTGAGTAATATTTGTAAACACTTGATCGTATATTATATTTTTTTCGGTTTCTATTTCGTGTTGATCTTTTCTAGTAATAACTTTGCAGTCTTTTCTATGTTGTAAAGTATTTATTATGATAGGCATTTTTGTTTTTGTAAATTGAACGTTCGATGTGTTTACAGTTTTTTCAACATGAGACTCAATTTGTGTTGTCGAAAACAAATTATTAGGACAATTGTAATTTGGTAATATATTTGAAGGATTATTTAAATTTTGAATTGACAAACAATGTTGTTGGTTAAACTCTCTGTGACAATTTGAATTATCACTTATATAGTTTGGAGAAATATAGTACGGATAATAGTGATTGGTAAACAATTGTGTATTGTTAAAATAACCATTTTGTATTAAGTTTGTTGGGTTAT